AATGAAACTCCGAGCATACTACTGGTGTAGCTAAGTGTCTCAGATACCTAGCGATCGCAAGTCCCGTGACCCGCGCGACCCACTACTAACAAAAAGTGGTAACAAAATCTACTAGCAAACAACACTACTACCACTATGAAGGCCTAGCATTAGACAACACTGGCGATTCTGGTAATAATTCCCGGGACATACGCCTCGTCAAGTGGTAGCCGTTATGAGCTCACGGGGTCACTTGCCACAACAATAACGGGGCTATCTTCTGCCATAATTTTTACTAAAAAAGAGTGCGCTTAGAAGTGACGCCTACACAATCTTCACAATGGCGATTGTCCACACAATCGGCGCAGAAAGACACGAAAATCCCCCACGACACCGCTACCGCCTCTCGGCTTTTTAGTCATCAGTGACCGCCATCTAACACAATATGTCACGATCGGAACCCACGGTAATCCACAAACTTCTTTTTCTTCTACGTCCTGCGGTCATGGGTGGTGCTGAACTGCCACTCCACCCGTGCAGCAACAGGCCTCCTAAGCCAGCTTCCCAGCCCTGACACCCCACGAGCGGTATTGTTGCCGCCAAACGCAACAATCACAGGCTTGACTCGAGCTGAAGTCGCAAGCAGACACCCGCCACCCGAGTCCAGTCTCGGGTAGCGGCGTTTCACCGTGTTAGCTAAGCGGCCTGCCGTCAGACCAGGACGCTAAGCGAGCCGGTAAAACTTCACCGTCGTATTCCCTGGCGGTGTCCGAAGCCTTGTCGGAAATGTCGTCTCTAGGCAATGTCGCTGACACCAGCGGGGCCTTGTGCTTGTGCTCGCTACAGCACGTTGCTGCCACCCTGCAAACTCAGGCATAGCCGCCTTGCCTCAACCTAATGCTGCAAAGGGAGGCAGACGCGAGCCACCACAGGTCACCTGGGTGCGCCCTGTGTGATTTAGCGAAACCTAGGGCCACCGTTCACTAACCTTACTTTTGCTGCCCACGAGCCGTGGCTTTTTGGAGAATAATAACCGTGGTTGCTAAACCAAAAGCGTTCTTGGTGGTATGGTGGCGGTGGCTGGTGGCGAATAATATCCGTTGACTAAGCTATTGTTGGCTTTAACAGCTGAATCTGAACGTGATTCGCGGCCGCTAGTGGGAATTAAGTCGCTGAAATTGTCCATGTCTTCATGGTTGCCAAGGACTACTTAGCCGCCTCGTGGGCTGAGAAAATAAATTTCATCTGTAGGGTCTAGTGGTCAACTATAACCGAACTAGTGGCGTAAAATAAATTTATAGCACTGGGACAGCCAACCCGGAATGCCCACGGTGGGTCGTCTGCAGCGATGGTGGGAAGCGACGGTGGCGACTGAGGGGGCCATGACTACTCCCTTATGATCACTAGCGGAGATCCCCAAGACCATCGTTCACTCGCTTCCAAAGTATACCCTGCCAGCCATGTGCATGCGTGGCCCAGGGGGGCTTAGCTTCCGTGCATCTTCGGTGGGGGTGTGGGTGTGCCCCCTGGCAAAACGCGGCGAGGTCGCTGATTGAAGTTCAGTGAGAGGTCGCAATTCTTGATTTTCGGTAAATGCACGTACTTTTCTACCATTTTGAGGAAGACACGACCTTATAAACCACCGATACCAGTAACCCCATATTTCATTAAATTATCGGGTAAAGTTTCTGGTTCTTCCACGTAGCCAATTCTATTATAACCACGTCTTCCTTATGACCCACCTGTTGTGCTTACGGTTTGCCTGTGACATCACTTCAGCCCCAGCATGCCTCAAACTCTATTCCAAAATTATATATGAGTTAACGGCGCTAGCATACCAAATAAGGTTTGTAGAAAAGCTAAGATTATAGCTATTGCTGCCGTTGTGGTTGTCCGGGTAGAGCGGGCAATCCTCCCCAATTTTCGGGAACCTTAATTTCAATTGTTCCGATAGCGACGCTGTCCCATTTGGCTGCCGAATAAGGTTAGTCGAATCGCCCTAGTGGGAAGACAGCCTCAAAAGCGGTAGCACAAAAAAAGGTCCCAAATAATGAGGCTATCTCCAGCTTTTTTACGGTCTATCTTCAGAAACAATTGTGGATACAAGAGGTTGAGGAGTTACTAGGGTGGATACCTTTGCGCCAACGTGTGTCAAGTTATAGAGGCCACTGGTGCTTCAAACGATTGCTGCTTGGCTTGAAGCAGAGCTAGTGTCGCTGATCGTTGCCTCTGCCTCCGACGCAAGCAACCAGGGTCGCTTATCTTAGCCGCAACCGCTCTCGTAGGCTTATCCATGAAACTGTAGCAGCAGTGGGGAAACTAGGGTACGGAAGCAGATATAACTATAACATCCGCTTATTAATGACACCACCTCTCTAGTAGTATCCTTTATGGTCATTATTTTAACCGTTTGCCGGGTGGTTGGCCGAGGTCACTCTTAGTCACTGGTCGCACCACCAAGCGGGTCATGACCATACAGAGACCACGCCGTTAACACCAGCTCCACCACTGTACAACCCTCAATCGTCACCTGATGGAACGCCACTGACTCTACTGGTAACGCCATCAGTCGCTAATTTCGAAATTTATCCGTTTATCGCCGCCACCACCAAACGGGTCTCATATTGCTTCGCACCCTCACCCACACCCCGCCATGAGTGACTTTCTCAGCCGGGTGTTTGGCATCAACTCCGACTACAATCTCCTGGTGTACGAGGCCCAGCAGGAGCAGGACTACGACCTGGACCTCGAGTCCCAGTTCCTCGACCCCCAGCGAGCGGCGCAGCCGCTGGTGGCGGTCGAAGTGGGCGCCACCGCCATGGGCGACTCCACCGGCGACTACGCCATGCTGGAAAGCTTCGACCCGCCGCATCAGTCGATCCACATGTCACACATCAAGCCCAAGGCCAAACCGAAGCCGCGAAGGAAGCGCAAAGTGAGACAGACCGCCGTCAACATCAGCGACAACGAGAGGGCGCTCTATCTCTGGGCCAACGTCACCAACATGGACCAATTCCTCTGTGACGTCTACTGGTACTATAAGGATAAGGGTGTCACCAACATTGTCCTTCTGAGGCTCGTGGACTTGGCAATCTTGGTGTTCCTTATATCGCTTACCCTGTTCTTGCGGTGGGGGATCGACTACTCGGTGCTCAGTGAGGGCAGGCCCCACACGTTAGCCGACATCGTCATTGCCCAGTGGCACATGCCGGGGTGGGCCAAAGTGCTCTGGACGGGGTTTATCGCCTACGTCGGTCTCCGGCTTATCCAGCTCTATATGGACTGGTTCAAGCTTCGCGAGCTCCGCAACTTCTACCGCATGCTTGCCATCAGCGACGACGAGCTCTTGACGATCCTGTGGCCCGTGGTGGTGGAGAAATTGGCTGCGCTCAAGAACTATAACCAGTTGACGCTGAACGTCCCGTTAACGGCTCACGATATCGCCAACCGCATCATGAGAGTGGAAAACTACTTGGTGGCGCTTATAAGTCGTAATGTCATCGACGTCGCCCCCAGGTTCATGACCCGGACTCTCGAATGGAACATCAAGTTGTGCATCAACCAGTTCATGTTTTTGACCACTACCGACGGCAATAAGCTTGACGAGCGTGTGCTTAAAGAGTATAACCGAAATTTACTCGCCGACCAGCTCCGCAAACGGTTCAAGATGGCCGCCCTCATCAACTTGGCCCTCTGTCCATTTCTCGTGCTGTACTTTGTGTTGCTCAATTTCTTCAAGTACTTCAACGAGTACAAATCCAACCCCGGCAGCATTGTTGGTCTCCGTCAGTATACTCCCTACGCCGAGTGGTTGCTTCGCGACTATAACGAGTTGCCTCATTTCTTTGAGCGCCGATTATACCAAAGCATGGCTCCCGCAAACCGTTACATCAACCAGTTCCCGCGGGGGTTTCTTGTCCTCAACGCTATGACGTTGGTCAACTTCATTCTGGGGGCGATCACGGCGGTGCTTGTCCTCCTTGGGCTCGTCTACGATAACGAGGAATTTCTGTTCTGGCTGCTTGAGCTTAGCGAAGGGCGGCTGGCACTCTTTTGGATTTCAGTGCTCGGTACCGTATGGGCAGTCACCGCTACGTCATTAGGCAAAGACGATGCCGGCGAACAGCCAGTGTACGACCCCGAGGCGGCGCTCCAGTACGTGGCTCAGTACACCCACTATCTCCCCCACCGCTGGCAGGGCCGGCTCCACACCCAGGAGGTGAAGAACGAGTTTTGCCAGCTCTACAACTTGAAGATTATCGTCATCGCCTGGGAGATCTTGTCGATTGTCGTGCTGCCGATCCTCCTCTGGTTCCGCCTCAGTGCCCAGCTGGGCGCCATCGTCGACTTCTTCCGCGACTACCTGGTCCACGTCGACCACTTGGGCTACATCTGCTACTACGCCATGTATAATTTCGATGACGACGGCAAGGCGCGTCGCGCCGCCACTGGTGACGACAAGATGATGAAGCTGTACATGTACTTTGTCGACCAGTACCGCCCGGAACACCAGGCGCCGGCAGCACCCCCGGCAGCCCCCTCCAACGCCGGCGCCACGCCTGTGGCCACCGGCCGCAGTCGCGCTGCTCCTGTCGATCTGCTCTACCTGCTGTACACCGTCCACTACGACTTTGACGACGCCGACCCCAACGCAGCAACCACGGCAGCGGCACCGGCTCCCGGGGCACCGCTGGGGGTATTGGGCATGATCAACCAGTTCTACAAACACCTGCGGTAGTGGTTATCTCTCCACATAGTCAATCATCCACCGACGTCCTTTTAGCCAGCGTGCCTTGTCTCTCCTCTCTCTCTGCCTTGATTTTTAAGTTTACGATAATATTCAGTGCAGCGACAATAGCGACGTCTTTCGGCGCTAGTTTCGGCGGAACCCGTAAACGACGTCGAGTCCACTTGCTCCATGTGTGGCGGGCGCCGGGCAACACTTGCCTTAGTTCGCGGCGAAACGTTCGCCGACGAACCCTAAACCGTGGCTCGGTGTCAACCCTACAGGTGGCTTACGCTAGTGTCTGGGGAACAGATAGGGGGTGAGGAAATTGGGGCAAGATAGGGGGCTGGGGAATAATTTTCAGAATCGAGAGGGGAATGTCCGGGGTTGCTTTACCCGCTATCTCCTGTCACGATCACAACATCGGGCTCCAGATAGCCCGCTCCACCTTGAGTTTACCGCCTCGGCACCCACGACTTCCGTACATTAAGCCCGGTTCGCTTGATCCTTCTCTGCAGCGCCTCTGAGGCTGTGGAAACCTCGTATCGCTCCGACTCTACTGCACGCAGCCACTGCCCGCTTATACAACCTGGGGACTAAAAGCTCAACGGGACGCCGCCCCCCGCCCCACCTCAAACTTTAGCGGGACAGACCCTCGGGTCCACCTGCTCCCGGATACAAAGCCTCTGCCCCGAAACACGCCCCCCCATATCGA